GGCCGGGGCGGGGCCGTGTCGCACCGCCCCGAGGCCCCGCCCCGCCCCGCTGCGCTCTTCCCGCCGCCCGGGGGAAGGGGAGGGGTAGTGGAGGGCCCGAGCCCAAGCCTGGCCTAGGCCCGGAGGTGCCCGCTATGGGGGGGTGTCGCCGCCGCCGCGCACTCGCTCGCTCGCTCCCTCCTCCTGCCACTGAGTGCACACCCGTCTCCCCGGGCAGCAGCCATTTTTTGCTCAGGAAGAAAAAAGCCCTGAGCACGTGCGGACGCCTGCTGTGCCCGGGGCCCGGCCCAGCCGGGAGAGGCGGCGAGCAGGGCAAGAGCATGTGCGAGGGCGCAGAAACGCCTTCCTGGGCGATCAGCGCCGCAGGATGCGTGAGAGGCAGCGCTCCACGCCTGCCCACGCCCAGCCGGTCCTTGACAGTCAATTTCTGGGGGCTGCTGAGAAGACAGGAAGCTCCTTTGTTCACACGCCTGGTTGTGGGCAAGCCCTCTATGGGAAGATGATCCCCGCAGCTCATTGATGGGTCTTGAGATGATTTAAGAATCCAGTTTTTGGGCCACACGTTTGCCACAAACGCTGCGGTGGGAGTCAGTACATCGGCTGTGTCTGCTCCCGTCTCTTTATATACGTTGCCACCTGCCAGTAACAGGCATCGTGAATGTAATTCTTTGGAAATAATTCAGCTAAGCTGCTCCAACCTGTTAGATATTCAGCTCTTGTTACGTTAGGGCTTCAAAAATTTCCACTTACGCTTGGAATCTCGTTACGCTGGAGTCTGTTGCCTCACAAATGCTGATGCAATGAAAATATTCCCAAGCTCCTCCCAGCAGCCCATGTGCAGAGCAGATAACAAGCCGGATGTGGGACAGGATCAGTCCAAAGCAGGACTGCAGAGATGCAGGAGGAACAAGCAGACGGGCAGGGGGCAACGATGGCAGCACAGCAAGGATTTGCACAGGTGTCTGGCAACGTAAAGGCCACAAGGGACAAAGCAAAAGGGAGGACGTGGGGGGAGAAATCAAGGACCTATTCAGGGAGAGGGTGCAGTGCGGGGTGGGGCAAAGCTAAGTGAATCTCAAAACATTTGTTATTACAACAAATTCGCTACAGCAAACACTTTTTTCAGCCCTTGTCTGTATAGTATTGTATTGCTATACCAAGGGAAAAAAAAGGTAACACCAAAGTCTTAGACATTAACAAAATATGCTTTGATGAGATATGTTAGGAGAGGGAAAAACAGTTCCCGAAGGGAGAAAAATTGAAATTGGTAGAAGCAAGATCTGGCTGGGAAGAAATG